AGTTTCAGGGCAGGTCGATCTTATGAGGACCTGAAAATGGCCCTCCGTTTCAGGCTGAAAAGACTCAGGGCCTGGAGGGCCCTGTTTTAGGCTGACACGCCACAGGGCCTGTAGGCCCTTGTTTTCAGGCTTTCAGGCTGAAACGACCCAGGGCCTGAAAATGGCCCTCGTTTGCAAGCGCAACATGTAACACTAAGCTATGGCGACCTGCGCTATTGACTACTGGCTAAACTCTCTCTCAACCTCAAGTGGCGCTTGGTAGCACAAGACTGCAATGGCGCTTTCGCAGCAAGCTCAAAGGAAAATTGTGTTGACGCTTCGCTGACACCGGACTTTTGTACTCAGCTGCAGCTCCCGATCTTGGATTTTTCTCATACTGGTGCCTTCATCTGCCGGTTGCAGTTGGCCTTCTATGTATCCCGTAGTTTCTCTGACTTTTGTGGGACCGAGCTGCTGACTGGGTTGGACTCTGAGTGACAGACGAGACTGACTGAACTCACAGGCCTACCAGACTCAACCTACACCTATTGTACGGACGAACGTACGAGATCTACCGGATGGGATTATGGTACATGTTTTTTTTTTCGTTTTTTTGGGGGACACGTGACTTCGTAACTTTGGGATCGGATCTGGGGCTTAGAGGCTGAGACGCGTGAAATCCTTTCACTCAAGCCAGCCTAAATTTGTGCTCCCTTGAGAAAACCAGGACTTTTATCATCTTTCTGTAATGCATATCACCCTTTGCACCTGTTGGGAATGAGAGACTATTCTCTCTTGGTGAACCATCTGCCTTCCTCTGGTTCCTGGAACTGCCAAACTGGGATCTCTTGCTGTGGTCTTAGGCTTCCGCGTGATCGGTATGGCGCATGGATCGACCGTGCCAGGCGGTATCGTAGATATCTGTGAGGGTAATGAGCTGTCTGGTACGCAAGCCAACAGCTTGAAGGCATGAAACACTGCGTAGATCCACAGATGTGAAGGTGCATCAATTGCTTACGATGGGCCGTCTGCATCTCCCACTAGATATAATTTGCTTAGGACGGGCCGTCTGCATCTCCCACTAGATCTAATACTTCCTAAGGCCCTCTATACGCAGGTAGCACTTTCTGAGAAATACATTCTTCAGGCACAAACTCTTTTGGCTTAACACAGACTAAGTACATACAGCAAACTGTGATAGTTAACGCTGTGCTTGTTTGCTTGTTCTACCATCTTCTCCTGGGCATGTCTGATACTTTCAGCAACCTTTGAAGGTCATTCTCGTATTTTAGTGCAAACTCGCGGGTCTCGGGTGCTCTGGATCTCATCGGGGGGGCAGTCAATAGGTCTGCGTGTCTTCGACCCCTTGTGCAATTCATTTGGTGTTTTTGTTTTGTTTTGTTTAAAAAAAAAACAACTGCCCGTATGGGAGATAGGGGCGCTTGTACGAGAAGACATCTCTATCTCCCCCGGGGAGGCTCCATCTATTGGTGGGGAGCAACACCTGCTGGAAATCGGGTCCAGCATCCCTTACACAACAACCATTTCAATCACGCTGAGTTATTTCTGGCTGTGTTCCAGCCTTACGGGCCGCATCTCCCGGTAGGCCGGCGCCCAGTAGGCCGTAGTGGGCAGAAACCGTTTGTTTGTTTTTTTGGGACTTCCAGTGGTAGGCGGGGGGAAGAT